GGGAAAGAGGAAATTACATCAAGCTACACCAGGGTAGGTTTAGGTTAGACATGAAGAAAAAGTTCTACACTGAAAGGCTTAAGGGAACAAGCTGCCCAGGGAAGTGGTGGAATCACCATCCTTGGATGTATTTAAAAGCTGTCCAGATATGGTGCTCAGGGACACAGCTTAGAAGTGAGCATGGTAGAGTTAGATAACAGTTGGACTTATCTTAAAGGTCTTTTCCAACTGTAATGATTCTGTGGTTCTAAAGAACATACAGGAAATACTCCTTATAGGAAACCTATGTTGTTTGCTAGAAGTTCAAACCTTCTACAGAAATTATTTTTTACCAGACTCCTACCTCTGTATAGTTTTAGCTTTCAATTGTAATACTAAGTAAGCTTCCTTGTCTAAAGAGAGCTGACCAAGAGAATCATCTAAAACAGAGTATTTAATTAGTAGTACTATTATATGTCCAGGATGGTAGAAGGGTGTACTTCTGCAGTATATGGCAAAGACACTAAATTCCAAGCACACTAATTTTTAACTACTAGGAGACTATTAATTATATTGTATTATACCATGTAAAAAAATACAAAGGCTTACAAGAAATTTAGTGTAATTTTTACAAAAACAGAAGAGGGTAAGACAAGAACAATGAACCAGGCTCAAATCAAGTGAATAAAAAATTATAATCCGGAAAATGCAACAAGTGCAGTAGATTTAAAGAAGGAACTGAAAGCTGGTGATTTGGGCTTAGAAATGTGATTGTTTCAAGTACTCCAAACCAAAGTATGCAACTAGGTGTGGGAATGCACAGGAAAATAATGTTAAGGACAGGGCAAATACGATGCAGCAAAAGAAAGGAATTAGTGGGTGAGGGGATTCATTAATGAGAAAAACATGGGGAAATAATTCAGTTATTTAGTATTTAGAAATAATAATAAATGGGGATTATATTATATGGTAAACATTTCACTAACAGCTATATAAGAGAAGTACTTACTTATCATTTCTTCTTTATCTGACTCCTGTGCTAAGATAACATCTCTGAAAACAGTAAAGTCACAGGGATAGATTAAGTCAGTAAAACCAAAATGGAACAAAAGTAGATTAAAACTGTGCCAGCAAGGAACGTCCCAAAGAATTAACTATACACTTACTTTGCATTGACAAGGATGATTAACATTAAGAAATAAATAAAGAATGGATCTGCTTGTTGTAGATATCCATCCCATATTGCTTGAGTGACTTCAGCTGAACAGTAATATGAGAAGAGGCTTCCAAGCTAAAAATTTGGAAAATAGTACGAGAAAAAGCATTAACCAGGAACAATCTCATCAGCATAACATTTTTAACAGATACAAGATATCTAAAAGAAAATAAACCCAACAAAATTATGTACATTTGTACCATGTATTGAAGGATGGATCTACCCTCAAATGCAATTTTTATGGAAACAGTGCAGTAATGCTACAGATAATCTGTGAATAAATACACCTGGTGTGAAGGCAAACTCAGCTGTACATTGTCAGTCTTGCAAATTCAACCAGAGATAACGCAATCAGGCTAGAATACTCTTCAGCTTACAGCTACTGCTAAACACCAATTACCTCAACAAGAACATAATAAGAGAATATATTTAATCAACTAGCTTAGCAAATAGGACTCTGAAAGGATCCTGTAAACAACATTATTTTGAGTCTTCATAGTAGAACCAAGCTGATTGAACATGGCTGAGCATTAGTTTGACAATGTCACTTACTTAATGTTACACTTTGTTGCTTTATGGCTGAGTGATTAAACATTTGCAAGAAACAAGAAAATATCCATTACCATTTAACAAATTGTTTGCCTATTCCCATATTCCCATCTAAAAATACATCTTCCCTGATATGCAAACTTCAAAGTGGATAAAACAAAAGGCAGGAACTTCTTTTCACACACACCAGATAATTTTTGCAATCATACCTAACTCAAATGCATACCAGCTGGCTTCACTGGGGTCTTTGACTTTAAAAGACCTGTCAGGTTGATGTTTATCCATATCTACAACCATACAGCTGCCCACTATAAATACTAACATCACAGCCTCTCACTTTGAGTATGTCAGTCGCTCTCATTCTTATTTATTCCAAGTATTTCCTAACATCAGTGGCTCAATTAATATCCAGTACAATAAAAATGTGACATTAACAAGATCTTATACCTTATGTTAAACAAACAAAGACAAAAAGTACACACTATATCAAAACATGACATTTATTTGAGCCAGCACTGTGCCCTCGCAGCCAAGGTCAATGGCATCCTGGGATGTATCAGAAGGGGTGTGGTTAGTAGGTCAAGAGAGGTTCTCCTTCTCCTCTGCTCTGCCCTGGTGAGACCACATCTGAAATATTGTGTTCAATTCTGGGCCTCTCAGTTCAAGGACAGAGAATTGCTTGAAAGAGTCCAGCACAGAGCCACAAAGATGTTTCAGGGAGTGGAGCATCTCCCTTATGAGGAGCGGTTGAGGGAGCTGGGTCTCTTTAGCTTGGAGAAGAGGAGACTGAGGGGTTCCCTCATTAGTGTTTATAAATTTGTAAAGGGCAAGCGTCAGGAGGAAGGAGCCAGGCTCTTCTCTGTGATGTCAAATGATAGGACATCAAGCTGGAGCACAGGAGGTTCAACCTTAAGATAAGGAAAAACTTTTTCACTGTGAGGGTGACAGAGCACTGGACCAGGCTGCCCAGAGAAGTTGTGGAGTCTCCTTCTCTGGAGACATTCAAAACCCGCCTGGATGTGTTCCTGTGTGACCTGGTCTAGGTGATCCTGCTCTGGCAGGGGGGTTGGACTAGATGATCTTTCAAGGTCCCTTCCAACTCCTAATATTGTGTGATTTCTATATATACAGTTCTAATCTCTTGTACTACTCCTCCATAAACTGGCAACACGTACTTAAATTTTTACAGAAATTTATTTTTCATTATGTTTCCCTACTTTCACTTTATTACCCAGTTGAGTGCATATGAGTCTGGAGTCATCTTCTTAGTATCAAGAAAGGAGCAGAGTTCAGGCTCATGGTATTGAAGAAGCAGTCTAAATAGATGAAACGGTCTTCCCTTCATAAAACAATCCCTAAAAAGTAGCAGTGAAAATAATTATAAACCCCCCATAATATAACAGTTTCAGATTTACACTAGCAATTCTTTATTAGTTATGATTATTTAATTTCCTGTATTTTTTTAATCCACAGGGACTGATCATGAAGTCAACTTGCCCCAAGAGTTAAAAAATACCCAAACCAAAACGAACCCCACAACCTACAAACACTGAAACCTCTATTATATTAATAAGGCAGGAGAAAGAACAAAATACTGCTGGTACTTGATAGAGTATTTAATACAGAAGTTTTTAAAACAGATTTAAATATCAAAACAAGGCTAGCATGGTATCAATGTTAACTAAAAATAGAATTAAAAAAAAATAAAATCATTCTAATAAGGCAGCCAAAGTGTATTTTTTTTCTAACCAAAAAAAGGAAGCTACTTTCCACCCCCTGCTAGAGAAAACGTTGTTGTAATGCAAACATATGTAAACCACTTTCCTCACTGTTCCCCGAGATGAGACACACTTCCATTATCCACTTGCTCTCACGCAAATCACTGTCTACTCAATTGCATATCTGAGATGGTGTTTTCTTCTACATATGGCCCAAAGAAAGAATTCTAATGGCACAGGACTTCTGTATTAACTGTTTGTTAATTATGTATAGTTCAGAAAACTCTTCCAGAGGAAAGGCAGAAAGAAAAGATCAGTATCCAAAGGATACTTTATACCAAAAGCCTTGAGAGTAACAGTGTTTCCAAGGAAAAAATAGCAAAACTTCCCACATCTAAAATAGTCTTTTATGGTTTTTTTTCCCCTCTCATTCTTCCTTTGGCTTCCTTCAGATGCTCTTTCAAAAAGAAAACAAACAAAAACAAAAAAACCAAGACGTAATATTGTTCAACAGCTTATGCTGCACATTCTCCTCACTTATTGTCCACATTTTGTTAGAATAAATTCCCAATAAATATTTTGATAGTTACATAACATGCAAAAATGGGAATAAAAAGTGTATGATTAAAAACCAAAAATAGCAAAAAGTTAAAAATGAAACTTTTATAAAATAGTAATGACGGTCCAGCAGTCAAACATTAAATTGAAACCAAACTGACCTAAGCAGGGATTTGCAAGTCTACTATAAATTGCCTTTCTATGCCTTTCGTTCTCCCACTAAAAAGAAAAAAAAAGAAAGAAAGAAAGAAAAAAAGAGAGAGAGAGAGAGAAAACAGTCTACATTTCATTGAAACACCACCTAGGTTCTTACAAAGAAACTCAAATACTAGACACGCTGAAAGCCTTCTATGGGCAAAAGTACATTTGTTACATGGCCACTATCCCCAAACAGTTCCCAGAGTCCAATAGCATCTGAAAACAGAAATGGACACAAGTTGAGTCAAGTGACAGGACTGATAAATGCTTCCTGCTCCACCACCAAATGTGCAATTTTCGTATTATGGGCACACATCCCCTAGCTGGGTCATAGCTGGTCTCCTCTCCATGGAATCGGACCAAGATGTTTAATTACAGACTATCCATATATTATTTCACAAGGTCTTAATTAGAAGACCCTGTAGTCTCACTGGAGTGTCATAGTGCCACTCCAACATAAATTTAAAAAAAAATAATTTAGTGATTACATAACATCATTAAAAGCTCCAATGTAATATTTTTTAATAATAAAAAATTAAATCTAACAACTTAAAAGAAAAAATAATTAATTCCAACTAAATAGAATGCAGAGAATCAACTACTTCTTCTAAAGAGATTTTGAGACTTAATTGGTGCTTATAAAGTACTTTGAAGTGACGGGGACAGAAGTATTTATATATGAAAAATGCTAGGTAAGGGAAGAAAAAATGCTTTCACATAAGATGTGATTTAGTTCCTAAACAAATAGTTTTGATATTGCATGAAATGACAATTGTTCTACACATGAAGTCTACATCAGTCACATGTTAGCTCTTTACATCTTAAATCAACGCAATCACCTTCTGGACTTCAAATCAACAGGTATGGAAAGATGGTTCAATTCATTACCATATGAAGGAATCTGACAACTTTGCTACAAACAGTGCTACTTTCACTGAAACCAACATGCACATCCCTTCAGGAAATACTTTCAATGCCAATAAAAGTAGTACACAGGCAAAAGAAAGAGTTTTACCTTGGAATGAATTTATTCATGATAGCATAAAAGCAGTTGTACAAATCACTCCGTGGCAAACGAAGGTGCACCAGAGATTTGAGTAGATGTATCCAGCCAAGGCAAGAACTGTATTTAACATTGCGTGATTTACAATAAAAAGTAATAACAGACTCAATATCCAGAATTAATACTGACTTCTCCTCTTCTGGCACTGACAACTGGTCTGAAATAGGCACAGCAATATGAAAGGCGATTAATGCAGTTTAAAGAAGTTGAATGAGATTATTTCACAGCACAATTGCATCAATAGTGACTGCTTGGGAAAAAAAAACAAAAATGGACACACAAAACTAGCAGCTTGCATTAAATGCTTACAGAGAGGCAATCAAAAAGGCATCAAAATACAAGTGATTTTATAACCCCACTAGGATAGGCATTTGAATATTATTTAAATATCACAATGACAGGATTAAAGACATTTGAGTTTTCCAGGATCTGTAGGAAACAAAGAGGTAGGCCACAGAATGTCCCTCTTCTATTCCTACTTGATGTGTTCAGCACATAACTTATGTTCAACTTTATAACAAATTAATTTGAATTTCAACACAGATCAACCCACAACTCCTCAGTTCCTCAACTCCTCAATACCTCCAATTCCTCAGAAGCCCACTGATGTGCACATTTATGAAAATCAGTAGTTTTAATCAGCTAGGCTTACAGTCTTAAATTTTAATATTAACTTATAAATCACATTTTAAACCTCTACTTCAAAGTAATTTTCCTAACAATAATTTAAATTGGGGTTGTTAGGGTAACTATAAAAGGAGAAATTACCTGATTACTTACAACTAGAACTGGCTTTTAAATTTGATTTGGTACTGTTGCTAATCAGAAGGTACACTAATTATGAACATATAATCTTTTATATAATGTAGTACATTGTTTCAATTTCTTACAAATGTTGTAAGGTACTGAAAAGTAAAAACATCTACCATTTAATGAGAGACTAATTCCAAATCCATAATTTATATTGTTGCATTTGGATGAAAATTAGCACAATCATTTGCTTCAAAACCAGTTCTGTAGTTAAGGTAGCAGGTGACACTTCTTAAATACTGTCATTATGAAGTTTGATACATACACAAACCTTAGGTTGTCATTAGTTCCAAAGCATCTTTCTGCAGGCTCTTACTTAAAAGGCTAACAACACTTCAGCAAAAGTACTGGCAACCACCTCACTTGAGGCAATGAATCTAAGACATACTGAAATACGTCAACACCATATCCCAAATTATGTCGTCCTGCGTGTAATGAAATAACCACTTGGCTTACTTACAGTTAAATATAACAATATTTATTATACAGATTGTAGTGAAACCAGACTTTTGTGTAAGTTCATACAATTTTCAGTTTAATATTAAACACCTCTTTAGATTTTTAAATGAGGAATCTAATCTTAAATACACCTATGAAATATATTTCAGAAATAAATTTGATTTAATCCACTTGAATTATGTAAATTTTATTATAGCTAAACTGATTTACAGTAAAAGAAAGAATAACCATGTTATGTCCTGGATGGTGGGGAAGAGATCCCTACACACTTCATTAAAGCAAATATTTTTCCCCCTAAATTACCAGAAGCCCATGAGTCTCATTACTGTTAATGAAAGTTTTTATTACTGAAGTCTTTAATGGCTTCACATAAAAGCCAGTCAATATTTGGCACTTCCTTTTCTCTACCTCTCAGGAAAATAAAATAGTACATAAAATTCAAATGCCATCTGAAGATTTACTTTAAATTTGGAGACTACTTTCTCTTCTAAAACATTGAAATAGAGAGATTTAATCCAATTAAAAACTGAAATCCCTATATAACTTTCATTCTGAACTAACTTCACATTTACTACTTTAATCTGTTTAACATTTTTACAGATTACAAAATGTTTGCAATAAAGACGAAAGGCATTAAAGTGCTTACTTTTATACATTGTGAATACTAATGGAGACGTTTTGCTATCTTCCAGAAAAGACACTGTGATTAAATAACACAGTGGATTTTTTTCCCCTTTCCTTTACAGGACAGAGAAGGAAAATAAGCCCAACTAGACTCTAGAGCTAGAAAATGTAAAACTGCATTTTGAAAGTAGTAGGTACATGTGTATGCATGGAATAACTCCATTCTCTGTGTTAACTTTCAATTGTTCAAGAATAAATTAAAGCATGACAGGTAATAAAATAGAGGATTCTCTTACTGATGCCATAAGAAGTATCCTAATTTATGAGTCAGCACTGACTCCATCACCTGATCATTGATAATAATGTTGCTGAATGGTGTCAGGGATTTGGCCATTTTTGTGATGAGCTGCCGACCAGATCCTGTGACAGCTTCTTACGGACATACTGGAATATTATTTCCAGTGTTGTGGCAGCATCTTTCACAAATGCAACCTTTCATTTTTTGCTGAAAACACTAATGAAAAAATACCCTTCCAAAAAATAGTCTCTAAAGTCCAAGTTTAATATATTTTTTCACTTAGCGGTTATATGCATTTTGGTGCCACACCAGCGTTTCAGATTAAGTACCAGTCATTAGACAATTAAAAACTTGAATGACACTATAGAAAGACCATCTGGTTTAAAACACAGAGCTTGGAAAAAAATGTTTTCAGCTCCTGGAGCTTTCTTCCCATTTGGATCTGACCATGCAGACTAAAACAAGTTAGTACTTTAGACTCACATGTCACTTATCTTAGAGCCAGAGTACAGGTATGATACTACTGTTTTCTTACAAGTTCTTTCTGATTTTCTTTGCCCTGTCATCTTCCTCCACAAAGCTTCCTCCAAAATGCAAACATCATTCAGTTTATTTAATTAAAATAACAAGGCCCTAAGACAACTGAGAGTACAGAAGTTTTCACATAGGCAATCTAAATGTAACGGAACTTACCAATTAGCTCTTGGCAATCCTTATGTATTACACTCTGTTCTGGTAGGTCTAAAGAGCCATCCCAGGATGCCAGGCTGTCCCCCTTTCCTACAACATTAAGTGCAATCTGAAAACAAAAATAGAAAACCCTCTAAACATTTTAGTATCCCTCTGTAGTTACCCAATTACTGGACTCAATGAAGAGGAATAGTAAAAGTGAATTTACATACACGTGTATTAAAATTATAGTACTGCACCTCTTCTGTATAGATGCCTGGTAACTAAATAATTTACATCAAATCAAACACAACTTCAAGTATTTCCTGCTTCTTGATTTAAGCTTGTATTTACCTTCCAGACTTTGGCCCTCAGATCAGCAGGCAACCTCCTTCCTTGAATGATGTTTCTCAGAGTTTCAAGATCACAGCCTCCTTCTTCTAGAGCGTCTGCAAGATCTTTTTCCCTATAACAATGATATGTAATGTGTTTATTAGAAATTAATTCTGCAACATTTTTCAATGTTTATCTATTACATAGATGTAGACTGAAGGCTACTATCAGGCAAAACACACATATGTGAAGATATATTATAAAACAATTTGCCAATTACTGAAAATAAAGATTTGCAAAATGTTATTTACTACTTTATTTTTAAGGCTACTTGTTCAACTTCTAATTCCATTCAATTTACATGAGAAAAAAATCAGAATCACAGAATGTTAGAAGTTGGAAGGGACCTTGAAACATCATCCAGTCCAACTCCCTGCCAGAGCAGGATCACCTAGACCAGGTCACACAGGAACGCGTCCAGGTGAGTCTTGAATGTCTCCAGAGAAGGAGACTCCACAACCTCTCTGGACAGCCTGGTCCAGTGCTCTATTACTCTTACAGTGAAAAAGTTTTTCCTCATGTTCAGAGTGAACCTCCTATGCTTCAGCTTGCTCCCATTGCCCCTTGTCCTGTCATTGGACAGTAGGTACAAGAATGTACCTAATAAAGTCCATTATGTCTGCTCATTTATTATTAGAGAAGACAGACCCCTTTGAGCTGCTTCCTCCGAGTCAAAGAGCACTTTTGGAAAAAAGATTATTCAGTAGTTTAAAGCTTTAATTTGTGATGGGCACACTTCTGATACTAACTTACTATTTTCACAGCCCAACGGGTATCTTTTACTTGTACCAAATTCATTTAAAAAAACCACACTTATCAGTCCAAAGATGATCACCCTTTTTCCATATACATTGTATCTTGTATCTACTACTACACACCTGCTGTTGATCTAAGAGAGTTAAAACACATACTCCCACTTCGATTATACCACTTATCAAACTGCTTCCCATATTCATACATTGGTGTACCACTTGAAAACTCACATTGATTATTTTCTCCCACACTCTCAACTGGCTGCTCATGATACCTTCTAGTAGGCCACTGCCACTTTCAGTGTAAGAAGTAGTATTTCTTAAACATCTTCACACATCATTCCTATTTTGCCTAAATTGGAAGCAAGGCTGCTACCAGCTGAACCTTTCCCAAGAATATCATCGGTTTTAGTATCTACAAAGTTGTTGTCTCCTAGGACATCAAGTACATCCAATCTGCAAGTTTTTGTGTATTTCTGATAACTGCAACATACAGAGAGAAAGACAGGCGCATATATCCCAATCCTGCCATCACAAATATGAAGGCAAACTGTACATATACATGTTAGTGCCAGATTGGACTAATTTATTCTAATTTTATTTATTTATTTATTTTTTACTACAAAGATAGAACTAAACTGCATTTTAAGCAAAGTATTTTGCTTGTAAAAGCTCACAATAACATACAGGCTTATAACACACAGTAATTACAAACAAGCTTTACTTAAGAGAAAGCCAGGCAAGGGAACAGTGCTCATGGAAATTTCCGAAGTCAATGGCTAATATCAGTTTAGTTTTATAGTCACCATTCTACCTTCCCACAGCAAAGAACATAGTTTTCTGTGGGGGGGAAGTTATCTATATAAAAGCTTCTTCCCCTGCCCCTGCATCCCCAAAATATGCTTATATAACCTAGTTAGTCTGGTTCCTACTTTTACTTTAGGATTCTCTTGACTGCTGGAAAAAAACCTCAACAATAGCGATATTAAATTGAAAGTAATGAGGACTGTCTGTTCTCTATTGAAAACAAACAGATAGAAATCAATCCCTCACATATACTTCAAAATACCCATTGTATTCAGAACATCATTGAATATTCTTTTGTTCCAATGGAATTTTGGAGGAAAACATTTATTCCCTGACATTTTGACCGCTATTTTTTTCATCAAGTGTGTTAATCTGACTCTTAACTGCAAGGGATTTTTTGTTTGTGTGCTTTCAGAAGAAATATCATGACTCCAAGCACTAATAAGCTAGACTGAGAGCACAGAAAAAATACACATGTACTAGTTTTGTCACTCCGTTGTCTGAAGCAGTTGGCATGTATTTTGGGACCTATGAGATGAATTATTCTAATGCACAAGAACAATTCCATCTGTGATTAGCTTTCAAAGTACAGATCTTAAAATAAAAACACTAATTGATCAAGTTCGCTGAAGCTAGAGTCTTGAACAAGCATCTGCAAAAAGATTTTAGAAATTAATTCATAACTGTTTATATCTTTATCTGTTTTGTGAGAAATTGTGTGTGGGAAGTCATTAGTTAAAGCATTAGGGTATAGAAACATAGCTAAGGTCTTGAAATAAGTTTTATAAGACGTGGTGCTTTGGAACATAACAAGATGAGAATCTTACCAAAAAATCAGTAAAACCCTAATTGGTAATGGGGTACAGTGGAAAGCGAAAGAATTCACATTGTATTAGAAAAAAGAAAAAAAAAGGGGGGGGGAATTCAGATGGAGTTGGTAACTTCTAGAGTATTTGTGAAGGTTGTAAATCCGTCAAGGCCTGGAAGATTTCTACATTCACAGACAGAGGTAAATCTTAAAGACAGAAAGGAGCGTGCCTCAAAGCTAAGATAGGCAGAACATCCTTGAAGATAAGGAACTATTGAGCTAACACAGCTGCAAGAAACCAACTTAAATCATGACTAGTTATACAGAGACAATAAAGTTGAAAAGTTTACAGTGGTGAAGACAATGAGCCTTCATCCTGAAGACTACGAGCCTTCATCTTCGCGACCCTCAATGACCGCCCCAGAATTTTAGTGCGCATGCGACAGTGGGCGGAAACTGATGTGAAAGATTTCCCCGGAAACCTGTTGAATATGTAAATAACTTTGTAAAAAATGTGTGGCTATGATAATGAATGTTACTATAAATAAACCTCAACCTATTAGCAGGTGTGCTTTTCAGGCATCCCACTTCCTGAATGCACCCCGCATGCTGCTAATAAACCTTTGCTTCACAGAATTGATCCGTCTCTAAATTTGTGAGCGTGTTTCTCACAGTTTGAAAATCTGAACAAGAAAAATTAAGTCCAAATCACTTATTTCTTTGATAAACGAAGAGAGAAAACACTGTAACTTCCAGTTACAAACATTTTAACTAAAAATAGTCCAGCCTGTTTGTGAATATACATTCTACTGACAGGAAGTATTGTATTGACTAAAATTATGGTTAAAATAATCAAATAAGCAGACAAAAAAAAAAAGAGAAATTTTACAGCAGAGCTTAAAAGCAGTCTGCCTCTTTTATGTTTCACAGTATTATTAACTTTGGACACAGATATGTCTTCCAGCATCAAATATAATACTGCTGGCAATTTCTCAAATTAATTTCTGAGAATATGCCAAATAGCTAAAAAGAAATACGTAATAAACAAGGTCTGACAGATTTTTCTCATTTTTAAGTCAAAACTGTTGATAAACTTCCTGTATTTATTGAAGTAAAAGTTGACAATCTCATCTTTCAATAACTCTATACAGTAAGGTTGGGGGGCTGGGGATTTCTTTAAAGTTGTATTGTACAGTGGCAAATTTTCCTGGTTTTATTAAACAAAACACCAAGCAGTCAGTCTGTATGTTGAGGGTTTTAACTCATCATTAATTTGTGCCTTTAATTAATTAAATGCATTAATTTAACTCATCATTTAACTCATCATTAGTTTGTGCCACCTCAAATCACTTAGACCAGCACTGCATGTCAAATTGAAAAAAGGAAAAATAAAAAGGGCATTTTATGTTAAGACTATCTAGATTCTACACTGCTGTCAGTCTCTGAACACAAAACTACATCTGTCTTTGAATCTTTATAAGGAACTGAACAGAGGACAAGGAATTAGCAATGCCGGTTTTGTTCCTGACACAGTTCAGGTGTATATTTGCATAATTTTATGTTTTTGCTATAGTTTTATTTTAAACATGAAATGTTATTGCAAAATCTTATATATTTCAAAACTATGATAATATAATTTACACAAAAAAGTTCATTTGAAAGATACATAGTATACTAACAAAAACAACTGTTCAACAGCATTCAGATATGTACAGAAAAGTTTAAATCAATAAATGAAAAAAATATTTAACTGAAACTCACATAAAAAACCCAAAACAACAGAAAACAAAAACACAACAACAAAACCAAAAAGCCATGTGATATTTCAAAACAAGCAATAAGGAATACAACGTTATGTTATTCACAGGGTACAGCTCTAGTAACAGGATGTATTCTGGCATATTAATGTAGCAATTTTTGCAGCGCTACGGACTTGGGGACGAGTGGCT